CTGTCTGTCTCTCTCTCTCTCTCTCTCTCTCTCTCTCTCTCTCACACACACACACACACACACACACACACACTCAAAAGTCCATGCCCTTTCAGTCCTTGCTCTATTTGACCTCTCTCTCTCTCCCTCCCTCCCCCTCTCTGTCTCTCTGAATGTGTGTGTGTGTGTGTGTGTGTGTGTGTGTGTGTGTGTGTGTGTGTGTGTGTACATGGCCATGTGTTCTTAAGAACTGTTCCATAGATGTTAAAATGCATCTCTTCCGACTCGACTTCTGGTTCCCAGTGGCAGCCTCGGGTGCCTCACACACCTTACCCAAACCCTGGGTCCCTCTGACTTCATCATCCTGTAACCCCCATCTCTAGACCTATAAAGTCACCCCCCCCTTAGCATCTTGTCTTTCCTCATTCCCAGGACTCTCTTCCTCGGATTCCTAGATGTCTGTCACACTGGCCTCCTCTCTGAGCTCACTCATCCTCTCCAGCCTGTCCTCACTCCTGCCAAAATGGCCTCTGAAACACAGAAATCCACGCTGTCACCACCAAACAACCTCAAGCCCAACTGCAACTGCCAAGTCCCCCTCTCTATCCAGTGATAAGACGACCAGGGGCATCGAGATCACCCGGTGCTCACACAATGCTCGGACTCTTTCCTCTGCCTGGAGTATGTGGCTCCCATTGCCCCACACGGGCCAATAACACTTCTGTTATTCTCTTCTAATCCGACTTCTTTGGAGGAGAGTGGAATCATGCTGCAGTCTGGGCTTGCCTGGAACTCACTCTGTAGCCCAGGCTGGCCTAAACTCACTATAATCCTCCTGCCTCAGCCTCCCACATGGTGAGATTATAGAGTGAACACCGTCCTCAGTTTCCAATTCTATTCCTTTCTAATACCCTCTCATGCTTCATGAGTTTTGAGGATTTGACCTTTGCCCCCACTGCCCTTTGTTCACACAGAGTCTGCTTTCACATATAACATGAATCCAAAAATACGTTTATAACCATTCTCAAATAAAGCACATAAGGAGGACTGATCTTGCATATTGTTGGAAAAGGTTATGTGATCCTTTCCAGAAAGCTATAAAAAAAATTATGAAATCCCTAATCAGGATCATTCAACGTCTGTTCCTCAAATAACTGAACCTCATTGATTATTTTTAAAGTTTAGAAGCCCCAGAAACATTCAGAATTGCCTCAAAACTCAAGTGTACAAGCGCTGGCGGGAAAGGCTGTCTCTGTGTCTCTGTGTAGCTGAATGAATAGCCGGGTGAACGCAGCCAGGCCGTGGGCCGAACGCTGTGCATGTTCACTGGCTTAATTTTCAGAACGACCCCACGAAGGATCACCATCACCCTCAGCTACCGGCGAAGAAAACTGAACACAGAGGGACTGCAGAACGCTCCCGAGATCACACAGCTGGACAGAGGCAAAACAGGGACTCACACCCAGGTGAGATGGCTCCAGAGTCCACGTTCTCAACTCACGTCCTTCCTCGTGGCCATCAGGACCCTCTCCCTCGCCTCACTCAACTTTCTCCACGCCTGCTCTTGGGGAATCTACCTGACGCCAGCCTCTGGCCTGGCGGGCACTGGGGCATGCCTGCCCTGTGGCCTGAAGAGTGTTCCTAGGGGAGAAGATCAAGAAGAGGAACTGTGCAGAGATGATGTGGACTCACTCCATCATGCCATCCACTGCTCCAGAGGACTCTGACAATTCAGCAAATCCCTCACGTTTGAGCACTAGGAAGGTGTGCAGACTACGTCCCTCTCTAAAGATGATCAATACCCCTGGATTGCCTGAAAGTCCCCTGTTTAGGTAGCCCCCTCTCCTAAGCATTGTCCCGAAGTTCCATAAAAGTGCACAGTTTTACCTTGAAACATTGGGAGTCTTACTGGCGCGTCAGCCCATATGAGAAGAACAGACTCCAAAGACTTTAGATTACACTCATAGACTCTATGAAAATGGAAGTTGTCTAAAATTAATTCTAACATACCAGGACTGTGGTAGGGACAGTAATTATAATTTTTTATTTGCTTCTCTGAATCTTTATTTTCCGAGACACTCACTAAGGATTCCGTGATGTCAACTTGAGTGGACTCACCTCGGAGAGTATACCTTTGGGCATGTCTTTAAGGACATTTCCAGAGAGCCTTAACTGAGGGAAGATTCACCATGGATGTGAGAGCACCATCACAGAGGCCTGGCTCCCATACTGAATAAGAAATAGACAGTCAGCTGAGTGCATCACCTCCTTTCTCTGGTTCCTGTTTGTCTGAACCGCCCACTACCACGCCTTCCCTGCCAGGATGGACTGTATCCCTTCCAACCACAAGCCAAAATAAACCTCTCTCCCCTTAAGTTGCCTGTTCTCGGGGATTTGGTCAGAGCAGTGGGAGAAACAATGAATACAAGTACTGTGTCTTTCTGTTTGCCCTCAGTGTCCAGCACAGGACTTCCTCGAATATATATATATATCACATTATCACATTTCACATTTCAAAATACTTTCAGTTTGACTCCGAAACATTCCTGAGATCCACAGAGTCAACCTTGCAAATTAAGAGAATCGTAGGAAAGTGGAATAGTAGTCTAACATCCGAGGACAATTTAAGTGTTAGTTTTAATTAAAGATAAAATCAATTTGAATGATTCAATAGAGATAGAAAACTGAGAAAAGCAAGCAGGGTAAAAAAAAAAAATTAAAAAAAGAGTGGTGATTCCCTGAATAGGAAGAGATGATGGATACAATATGCACAAGGATGTGACTGGTTTATCCTAAGTCACAGGAGGAGAGCCTGCCCATTCGAGGCAGGAGTGTGAGGACATTCTACCTCGCTTGTTTCTTTCCAGATAGGTCCCGCTACATAGCTCAGGCCAGGCTTGAATGTACTATCTCCCTGCTCCGGCCTCCCAGGCGCTGGGTTACGGGTGTACCCCCACGACACCTGTCTTACAGAACTCTTTTGGTTGCTTATATTTTCTCTATTAAAACACGAAGTAAGAACACAGAACGGGATGTAAACACGGAGCAGGGGTAGGGGTGTGGGCTAGAGAAATAAAAGAGGACCTGCCAGCAACACCAACTCCGTCAGTTACATCAGCTGTCGCACCTCTAAGGAGGGCTCAGGGGGTCTGTCTCTCCAGTCACCGTCAGCAGGAGGTGCGCACACAACATGCTAGAGACGTGAGGAAACATACAGGTTGGGGCTTGGCCAGGGGACACCAGGACAACTGATCCGTGTGTGCAACTTAAGTGTGATGGTGCTAACAAGCAATGGATCATTATCGATCACTGCCAGGTCAGGTACACTGCACAAGGTCACAAAACCAGGACTCAGCTGAGGATTTATAGTGAGACACTATCTCCAAACGAGGGGGGGATTAAAAGAGAATAAGCCCTGATCCTTCTCTTTGGGGGCCTGTCAATGTGGGGGATAGTTTGCTGGTTTCCAAACTTTTCTGTCTATAAGAAAAGCTTGGGGAGCGTAAAAATCAATGTGGCAACTCATGTCAATTAAATCTGAATGCTGGGAAGTGGGAACTAAGCATTGGTATCTTTTTTTTTTTTTAATTCCCAAATGACTTCAATCAAAACATCAAAAACTTGGAACACTGCAATAATCTCCTCTGCAGAGAATGGAATTTGAAGATCTATATTAAAATCCCTCCAGGTAAGCATTCAGCGTGCGTTACATTGATATTCTGCTGTAGACTCAATGCCCAACACAAGAAAAATGCAGCGCACTGTTGTACAAAACCACCACCTACCCTTTGGGGAAGAGTATTCAAATCCGTGCTAAATTTATACTCAGGGTAAAAGGCACTTGGGATTGTGGGGTTATTAATCTTGGACATGTTGCTTACTGCCCTACCCCCAGTGTCTGTAATCAGGTCTGGCAAATCGCAAATGCATGTGAATATCTGTTGAGGGAATGAGTGACATTTTAATACATATGGTCTAGAAAAGCCATTTGAATGGCAATGTTCCTTTTGACACAAAAGGAACTGAACTATTCCACTCGTGGTAGTCTATCATAACCAAATGCAAAAATAATAACAATATATACAGAAGATGATTTTAAAAAGGACTCCCTTGGTCTATCATAAACTCTGTTCCAGATCATATCAGTTTTAGTTTTATAGTCTGTCTTACCCCCCTGGGATCAGGCAGCACACATAATATAAACTTCAATGCCTTTCTTATCACAGCTGAGGAGTGCTCCCCCTGCTGGAAGGGCTTGATAATGACGGCATCAACGGAGGAGTCGGGATTCTGACCCCAACCGGCTGAGAGCTGCGACCTTCTGACCTTCAGGCCCCACTATGTTCAACCAGAGCTTGTGGGTGAAGAGAAATCACATTGAATTCTCCTTTACCTCTAAATTATCACAACCAAGACCTAGAAACATTTTCCCTAAAACCCTGGTCCTTTTTAAATGAGGTCATAGGAAGATGTATCAACTGTCTCAAAGCCACGGGGATCCCTCAGAAATTAGAAGCTCACAGGGTCTTATAGCATGTTCAAACATTTATGTGAGCTTTCAGTTACCTGGGAATAAACTTTGAAAAGTGGAAGCATAATTCTTAGCTATAACATGCTCAAATGTTGTCTTTTATTTTTTCTCTTGGTGAAGGGAAATTGCTATTAAAATATACAAGTTTAAACATGTATATATCCAGACAGGGTGGCCCACACCTTTAATCCCAGCATTCACGAAGCAGAGGCAGGCAGATCTCTCTGAGTTCCTGCAGCCTGGTCTATGAGGCAAAATCCAGGACAGCCAGAGCTACATAATGAGACCCTGTCTCAGACAAATCAAAAAACAAGTGTGTCATAGTTTTTCCCAAGCACCTTTTTCTCCTAATCTTCAGGCTTTAAAAAATCTATATTAAAATCTCTTGCAATAATCTCCAGTTCTGCTTCATTAAAAAAATTATTTCTTTCATCTAGTCAAGGAAGACCACAGGCTAATCAGATGCTAGAAACATACTTCAAACTGTTCATTATTAACAAGTTGGAGGTAAAATCCACCTTCAAATTTCAAATGTAAGGAAAATCTCCTTTAGCCTGAATGTTATTTTCCTTTCATACATCAACCAAACAAGCTTACACACACACACACACACACACACACACACACACACACACACACACGAGTGCACAGTACATCTGGGTTACAATGGCAGATGGGGAAAGAATGCATCCAATTCTAGTCTCCAGGGAAAGAAAATCACACTAAAAATACAGTAAAGGGGATTTCTAAACTCATAACCCACAAGGAATACGGGAAAGGAGCAGACAACGGTGGCAGGATTCGAAGCCGTAAAAGCACACTGGCAAATATAAATGGGCACCACCATGCCAGAAGGTCAAATCTTAAACTGACAGAGGAAGACTAAAAGGCCACCTAGGTCACACCACGGTCCACACGACTCTAGACTGGCAGCCAGGAAGCACAGAGCGGAGAATGGGGCTGTGGGGTGATATCAATCCCCTGAAGATCTGGTTCCCTACTTCCCGCCCTCTCTCCTCAGGCTGGGCAGTGTCTGCTCCCACACAGGCTGGAGACAAGGACTCCGATACTCTGAGATACCCATTTTCTATTTTCTCCACAGATCTTGAGTCATAACTTCCACAGCCCTCATGATCTACTAAGTGACCAGAACGATGTGGTTGACGTGCCCTGGGTTTCTGGGGCCGCTTCAGGGCCGTCAAGGGGTAAGAAAGTTTGTTATAATGTTGAAGCATTTTAAGCCATGTAAACCTCAGTCTCATCCATGGTTCCTGCTCCCCGACCCTTTAACCTGCTCCTCTGTCTCCTCGGGGCCAGAACTAAAAAGATGAACTGATCTTGTCCTGCCTTTCTATCTCGGAGCACTAAGCACACCCCAGAGGAAGGTGTGCTACACAGACTGGGTCCCTGCTCACCCAGAATATTAGCACTAAACCACACCGCTTCCCCCAATCAGGTTTCTACACGGTTTCCCATGCTTAATTATCTGTATGCAATGAGATCTCCAGAAAAATTTAAAACAGTCCAGAAAGCTTCAAGATAGATGGGCGCGTGTGCTTCCTGGAATATGGCTAGCCCAGAGAGAGCATGGGGGCCCTGGATCTCTCCCCCTGTCTTAAGTCAGGCATCGCTTGACTTGATGAGGGACATCTCATCAGCCAGGCATCGGTGGCCTTGATGAGGTGGGCTGTTGCCCTGAGTTCTGTGAGCTGCTGCTCTAAGTAACGTAAGCAGTGGACTGTAGGAAAACTGGGTCTAACCATTGCATCATAAGCATAAGTGAGACAACCCGGGAGATATTCTGAAGTGGGGGTACCTTGGTCCACATACATAGTGTCAGAATCCAGGTGAATCAAAAGGCATGCAGCTGCTGTCCACTGCAGAACTAGTTGCTTGCTTGCTGATGGGGTAAAAATCCCTGAATGGACTCTAGCCAGCCTGAGCATCCCAAACATGGCTCTGGCAGGCTTTGCCCTTCTCCCCTATTCCCTCTGCCTTGCTAAATAAAAACTGTTAGATTACATTTATCTGAAGGTCCATTCCTTATTTGGCCACTTCCTCCTCCTGAGGCTGACGACCAAGGTCCAGCTATCAAAGTATTGAAGTCCAGCAATCAGAAGCCCCCTTTGGCTCACCTAATTAACATTCCCAATTAAAAAAATAAACACCTCATCCTAACACAGAGTTTCCCCTTTTACCTTTATAAACCGCCATTTTCCTACAGGCCACGTCTGCCTCCTCTCTATCCAGAGGCAGTCCTTTGTCCTCTGGGACAAATACCCCTGCCCCCTCTCTCTTGCTCCCTTCCCCTTCCCCCTCATCCTCTATCTCCTGTCTTCATCTCATTTCCTGCCTATAGTAGTTGGAATGCCATTGGCCCCCATCATCTCATAGGGAGTGGCACTATTAAGAGGTATGGCTTGCTTGGAGTGGGTGTGGCCTAGTTGGAGGAAGTGTGTCACTGTGGGGGCAGGCTTTAAGATTTCCTATGCTAAGGATACTGCTCTGTGTCTCAGTTGACTTCCTGTTGCCTGCAAGATACGGGGTTCTCAGCTCCAGCACCATGTCTGCCTGCATGCTCCCATGATAATGGACTGAACCTCTGGACTGAAAGTGAGCCCCTCGATTAAATGTCCTCTTTACAAGAGTTGCCATGGTCATGGTGTCTCTTCACAGCAATATAAAAACCCTAAGACAGAGGACCTCACCTAAAGCAAAGCACTCAATGAGCAAATGCATCCAGAAGGCCAGATGCACAATATCCAACCGCCAAACCTTCAACGCTCAATTGGATGGTCAGAAGACTCTGCCCTGGGGAACCTCTCCAGCCCCAAGGGAAGGGCTTGACGGTGCTGGTGTTGGAGTTCCAGCAGATCACCTCCAGAGATGCTCAGTCAGTTAACCCTTCCAGTGAGCCCACGGTTAATATGAACAGACAGGCAAGGATTCCCAGACCCCCGAGAGAGGACTCTGTTACAGCCTCTTTGAAAGTGTCTTCCCCACTGTATCACTGGTGTCCTGATTGGGTTTGTTGGTTTGGGTTTTTATCCATTTGACATAGGCTGGAGTAATCCGGGGGGAGGATCCGCAGTTAAGAAAATGCCTCTATCAGATGGCTGGTAGGTGAGTCTGTAAGGGCATCAATGTCTTGATGAATGATCAATGTGGGAAGATAGAGTGTGGTGATATTTTAATTGTGCTGAAATGTGATTTTATTTGTATGTTAATCAATAAAGTTTGCCTGGAGATCAGAGGTCATTAGCGAGCCAGGAACAGAAGTCAGATGTTGGTAGTCCATGCCCTTAATCCGATCACATGGCAGGCAGAGTCACTGTGTGGTCAAGGACACAGCCAAGCTTGGTGACACGAACCTTTAATCCCAGTACCAACCATAGAGACCTGGAGATCTGTATAGACAGGCAGTGACGAGGAAGTCATGTGGCTGGGCTTAGAGTCAATGAGAAGGCAGAACAGAAAGGCAATAAAAAGACAAGTCAGACAGGAAGAAAGTCTCTCTCTCAGGGGAAGGACGGCAGCGAGTGGTAAGATAAGGGAGTCTTGGCTATTCACTAGTGCTCTGATCTCTTGGGCTTTTAACTCTGTATCTGGCTCTGTGTTTCTTATTTAATAAGACTGTTTAGAAATTTGTCTACAATAGAGTTCCCTGTGAGTGATGCCCACCCCTGGGCAGGTGATCCTGAGTTAAATAAGAAAGCAGGCTGAGTCGGTCATGGTGGCGCAGGCCTTTAATCCCAGCACTTGAGAGGCAGAGTCAGGGGAATCTCTGTGAGTTCGAGGACCCTCTGGTCTACAGAGTGAGATCCAGGACAGCCAGGGCTGCATGAGACCTCATCTGGAACAAACAACAACAACAAAATCAGGCTGAGGAAGACATGGGGGAGCAAGCCAGTGAGCAGTGCCCCTCCTTGGCCTCTGCCTCAGCTCCTGCCTTGACTTCCTGTCCCAAATTCCTTCGTGGCGGTCTATGAGCTGTAACAGGAAATAAACCCTCTCCTCCCCAAGCTGCTTTTGGCCAGGGTGTTTGTCACAGCAACAGAGTAGGACACGTAGTCTCCACACTGCTGTTTCCCAACCACCGTTTCGGTCTCTAGGTAATAGATAATCCATTTAGAACGGTAAGAAAACGGATTGCACCGGGCTAGTGAGATGAGTGGAAACTTGCCACACAAGCCTGATGACCGGAGCTTGATCCCCCCAAGACCAACGTGAAGGTGGACGGAGAAAAGAGACTCCTGAACAGTGTCCTGCCGGGCGGTGGTGGCGCACACCTTTAATCCCAGCACTTGGGAGGCAGAGGCAGGCGGATCTCTGTGAGTTCGAGGCCAGCCTGGGCTACCAAGTGA